AGCAAGATTTGTTGTAAGTAGTCTATATATCTTCTCTCCCCTGTATTAGCACAGCAATGAATCTAGATCTACTCCACTGTGATAACGGTGGTGGTTATAGATGTTTACTGTGGTGAAACTATGTAGCATTATACATCTCTGTGTCACATGGCTTGTACAGAAGCTGGATGGTTGTGTATATGTACAGCAGTAAATATCAATTGATAATGGAAATAAGAAAATATGTAAATGTGTATATATGTATGTATGTATGTGTGTGTGAAGGTATTACATAATGAGCCTTTTGAATTCTGTAATATAGGGGATTTTTTTCCCCTAACATTCTGATCTAAATTATGGTTTTTTACTATCTAGTTTTTTTACCCTTGAATCACAAATTTATCCTGAAAATTTGAAGAACATAAACTGGAAGAACGGTGTCGTTTAATTAGTGAGGCAACAAGGGGAAGAAAGGATAATAAAAAACTGCGCGTTTTGGCGTATCATCTCTTTCCCTCTCCCGCCCGCGGCTTTTTCCTTTTCGTTGCTCGGTTATTGGTTCATGAGATCTGCAACTGACTTGGCCACTCGGATAAGCCGAGCTCTGATCTCCTACTCAAACAACTTGAGTCCAACTCGGACATGGAATCCGTCACTCGAGCAGACTCTTCACCGACTCGGTTGTCGCGACTCTCTGACTCCATCACTCGTCGCCCAAGTCATCGATCCGCATCTCCTGAACCAACATTCACTAGCTCTAGGGTTCTTCAACTGGGCAGCTCAACAGCCGGGCTTTTTACACGAATCTGTATCTTACGAATCCATCCTTAAGTCTTTGTCTCTGTCCCGCCAATTCAGCGCCATTGACGCTCTGTTGAAACAAGCAAGAGCACAGAAAATAACCCTCAATTCTTCTGCATACCGAGTAGTGATCAGTTCACTGGTACTGGGACAGAAAACCCAGAACGCGTTTTCCGTTTTCAAGGAAGCAAGTTCACTAAGTCGAGAGATTGGTACTGATGTCTGCAACTCGCTTTTAGCTGCCTTAGCCTCAGATGGGCAATTCAATTCCGCCCAGAAAATGTTCGATGAAATGACTGAAAGAGGTATCTCGTTTACTACTCTTGGGATTTGCGTGTTCATGTGGAGGAGTTGTGGGAAAAGTTTGACGTGTCAGATTTTGTGTATGTTAGATAAGGTGAAGAAGCTTGATTCAGATATTAATGGGTCAATTCTTGCTGTATTGGTCGTTCATGGGCTCTGTCAGGCTTCCAGAGAATCAGAGGCTTTCTGGCTATTGGATGAACTGAGGAGCAGAGACTGCAAGCCGGATTTCATGGCTTATGGGATTGTCGCCAATGAGTTTAGATCAAAGGGGAATGTGTATGAGAGGGAGATGGTTTTGAAGAAGAAGAGGAAGCTGGGAGTAGCTCCAAGGAGTAGTGATTACAGAGAGTTCATTTTAGCTTTGATTTCAAATAGGCTCATAAGAGAAGCCAAGGAGTTGGGGGAAATAATTGTGAGTGGAAACTTCCCTATTGAGGATGATGTTTTGAATGCATTGATAGGATCAGTTTCAGCAGTTGATGCAAGTTCTGCAACTATGTTTCTGAATTTCATGATTCGTAAAGATCAATTCCCGACACTATTAACCCTGAGCAATTTGAGTAGGAACCTATGCAAGCATGGGAAAGCAGAAGAACTATTAAAGGTCTATACGGCTTTGTCTTGCAATGATTATTTTACAGACATGGAGAGTTACAAAATAATGGTTTTCTTCCTCTGCAAGGCAGGGAGAGTGCGAGAAGCTTATGGGATCCTCAACGAGATGAAGAAAAAAGGAATCGAGCCAGATGTCTCATTATACAATTCATTCATGGAAGCGTGTTGTCGGGAAGTTCTACTTCGACCCGCAAAGAGGCTGTGGGATGAGATGTTTGCAAATGGGTGCCGTGCAAATTTGAAGACTTACAACATTCTTATTAGGAAACTATCAGAAGAAGGTGAAGTTGAGGATTGTTTGAGGCTTTTCCACCACATGTTAGACAAGGGAGTGGCTCCTGATAATATGACATACAGCTCTCTTTTTGTTGGGCTTTGTAAAGAAACAAAGGTTGAAGCTGGTTTTGAAGTCTTCAACAAGGCTATTGAGCAGGATCCAGTGCTTGCACAGAGCATATCAAGCACATTTGTCCTGCAGCTATGTCGAAATGGTATAGCCCTAATCCTACTTCTATACGGACCGATATGGTTCCGTTTCCTATCCTATTCTCTTCCTTTATTTGCTTGACTATTCTTGATGTGTAGATTTAAATGGTAATTTTCATGTTTGATTAATTAAGTCTTCCACTAGATTTGTAGTCTTAGGGGTAAATGACTGTAGGCTCGCATTAGATTCCTTGAATGGATTTGACTCCTATATAACTATTTATAGTAAAAAATCACCCAACTTAAATTGAATAATAAACATACTTCTGTTTTACCATTGCTCAATTTTGTTACAAATCAACAATTTCTAATAAATTCATTTCTAAATGGTAGAAATGCATGGTTGAATTAGGAAATGCTAAGAATCTATTTAGTCCAGAAGGAATTTCAAATAGAACTATGATAAGATATTTGAAAACCTATTGATCTTGATAAAATTTGGAATATATCTTTTCAATTTCACTTGGGTTATTTGTATGAACTCTATTTTTATTATTTTCTGATAAAATTTTCAGCTGTCCTAATATCAAAACTAAATTTTCAAAGAAATTTCTCAGAAATCCATATGAACTATGCAGGTCATTTTCTTTCTGCTTCGAAGTTGCTCTACAATCTTCCTGCTGATATAGTGTCCTCACACTCCCATGTTATTTTATTGAAATGTTTGGCTGATGCGAAACTGATTGAGATGGGAATTAAGCATTTGAAACAAATAGAAGAAACCTCACCTTCAATGGCAGAAGCTATTTCTTCTGAACTCTCAGCATCACTTTCTTCCTCGTTGACTCCGGAGCCGATTCTAAACATGCTTCGAGCATTACAAGAATTGT